TTTTTCATCGTTATGTCAGTGATTTAAAACTATTTTAAATGTTCGATGCCATGCAGTAGACCCCAATGTAAAAGTGCTTGAATGTAAAAGTCAAATATTGTTTTGACAGATAGAAAAGTGTTTATGAGTAGGCTTAACCGAGCTGAAGGAAAACAAAGACAAAGGATAAATAAATATTCATTGATACAGAACCGAACTAGCAAATATCAATTTATGAAACTATTGAAACCTTCAAGAATCTTGGGTTGTGTAAGATATTTAAGAACATAATACTGAAACTGCACTCATGAATTTCTTTATTTGGTTGTTATCTCTAAAATACATTTACTGTTTTTGTTGAACACCAGACATCTCACCTCTTTCCCACAGTTTTTCACTTAGTTCAACTACTGCAGTGGATTTTATATAGTCAATGTTAAAAGCCAGCACAGAGTCTGAAGCGATGGAGGAAATTTACATCAACATGGAACCTGTTGGACAAACTGTTTCTAATCACACAGGTAAGAATGAAGTTACAGAGAAATCTAATATGTATTGAATTACATTTTGCTAAGGTTAAGGTTTTTGTTAAGGTTTGAGCAGCTCCAAAGAGAGGCTCTGCCTCGGTATGGTTGAATGTTTTACTTTTGGCTGAACTCATCGCAATCAGTGTACACAGTGAGTCTTGTTCTAGTCATCTTTCATTAAGCAGAATGTTTTGTTTTACAGTGAGGAAGGCTGGAGTCTAGCTTTAGCAGACGGCTGAAGGCATCTGACCCACGCTTCAAACTCAGTACCTGTTTGCTCTAAGGAAAAACTTTGGTAAGGTTAAATTTAGTTGACTAAAGAAAATCAAACGGTCAGGGGCGGATCTACTGGGGTGGCAGTTGCCACCCCAAACGAGAGCCTCGCCACCCCTGTTACCACCCTAGCTAGCGACAATGAATTCAATAAATAGTTATGGCAAATCGGACATAAAGCGCATGAATCTCTTTTTTCCGACAACATTGAATGCAACACATTGTAACCTGACAACCACTACTACGTAGCGGGAAGTGCGAGAGAAGGACAGAGCGCCAGCAGCATTGATATATACTGCTCAAAAAAATAAAGGGAACATTTCACTTTAATTTTGTGTGTGGCTCCAAATCCAGGCCTCCATTGGTTAATAAATTTGATTTCTATTGATGATTTTTGTGTGATTTTGTTGTCAGCACATTCAACTTTGTACAGAACAAAGTATTCAATGAGAATATTTCATTCATTAATTCAGTGTTATTTGAGTGTTCC